TGACAAGGCACGTCTGTATTCTCAAGCCTGCTTAAATGCAGTCATTTTCACCATCACTAAGTAGAAAATGAGTATTTCCTATCCTGTAAAAAGCTCCTTAGAAATAATATTGCTAGATCCATCTCTTGCACCGCAAGCTTTCATCTTAACTATTTCTTGTATGCTGGAGTCAAAAAGTAGCCCCTCAGCTTTCAATTCCTTTGTAGCAGCAAGTTTCTCCTGTTGACAGTAGGCAACAGAGGCTTTGAAGCATTTTCCTAGTTTGTTTTTACACAACTCTTCAGACATTTCTGCTTTGGATGTATTTTGTTTCTCTTTATCCCAAGAAAGTTTCCACAGAGGTGTGGTTTATTAATTGAAAGGTAATATTTTTCTCTGCAGCAATACTGCTTTCAGTGTACAACACAAAATCCATAAGATTTTTTCATCAATAGTGCTAGTACATTTTCTTCACTTTATGAACTAGTTCTGCAGAAAAACCAAGCCCACTAACTGCCTTAGGAGAAGGAGTAAGCTAGTTCCAATGATCTCCCAGGGAAAACAAAAATGAAGTGTAGAGCATCATCTGCTTGATATTTAATTATTATTTAATTACTCTACTAATGTGCTCCTCAATTGCACTCTATTGGACAATTTCAGATGACTGCTTTTGTTGCATGAACTTTTTCTTCTGAGCACCCCAGTGGTTTTAGTGGGTTATTAGCGAGGAAGCGGTTTATTAACAGTTGTGTATAACCAGAGCTACCTCAGTGTAATAGGCAAAATTCAATGGGATACCGAGGAGACTTTGCAGAATATGAATGGAGGCGCGAGCCCAGAAGAAGGAGGCTGGGCAGAGTCGCTTGTGCCTCCAGTGACCACCAAGAGCTGCTGGCAAAGACAGGGAGGATGAGGGAGGAATGGTGGTTTTCAAGGCTGTTGGCAGTCAAGGGGTTGCAAGGCTGTGAGGCAGAGAACAGGCACCATTCACTTGCTGAATCCAAACTGCTTGTCTCAGGTACAACATTAAGATGTCCAGCACCATTTTATCAAGCCCTTCTGTTTCTGCAGTTTCAACAACTTCCATGTCCTCTGCCAAAAGTACCACCCAGCTTACCACACTGACTTCTCCCCTGACTCCAGGGCCCAAGACTTCTTTCCTCTCCTGTACACACATACACCAGGCTCTCTCTGTCTCTTCCAATATAAGGCTTTTGTTTTGTTTTTAAATCCAGCCTGAGGGAATAGGGTTTTATTTATTTCCTTGTTTCCTGAGCCAAATATACTGGCAAGTCCCCAAGGTTTAACCAAGAGCAGTACACAAGGGATAAGTAGTACATGGAAGCAAAAATAGCAGGTATGACCACATAGAATTTTACTGTCTGGTACTAATAAAGACTTAGAAATATTTTCTTCAAAAATAAAACTTCTAAAAGCTCATTAAAGAACTTGCTGCATAGACCATTTTTCTTAAATGCTGCAGTTGTGCACCCACAGAAAATAAACTACACAAAACACCTTTGCAGAAGGGCTAAAGGTCTTTTAAAGCCACCTGGAACATCAGACCTGCGTGATGTCAGGCTGCTCAGTCATCTTCAGTAGAGATGCAGCTATAGAGCTTCACATGTGATATCAGGTTAAGTTGGGGGAATAAGGACATTGGTGTCAGTGCAGAGAGGGTTACCACGTCTGTTCCCACCTTTCTCTCTCCCAGTCCCCTCTGGAAATAAGCCAATTTGTTATGTCAGAACAGTTTTTACTGTGCACAAGAGCAGGGTTCCAGGGGTGGGCAGAGGTAGAGGGGCATGAGGTTTTACATTTTCCAGAGGGACCAAGAAATGAGAGGACTTTCGTTACTTACCAGGAATGACTCACCAAGTTAAGGCAATAATGAAATAATTGGGACAAACTACAGAGTATGCTCAGCACAGTCTGCAGTGACAGAAGCTGCTGTTTATAAATTAGAATCGCTAAATATGAAAGGAAACAACTTCAGCTGTGAGAGCAGAGTGACATAACCAAGTTGTTTATGAAAAAAATAAAACTTCAACAGCTTTGGGATTCATGGAAATGGCTACTAATGTGCTTCAACAATGAAAAATACTGTCTGTCTAATTTTTTAGTGCTCTGCTGACTCTTTTAAAATAAAATTGCCTTCAATTCTCCTTCATACTTTGCTCCATAATTTGGTAATCAGGAGAGGACAAGGCAAGCTAATGAAACAATCTGAGCTGCTCAGGTGAGAAAGCCTTGCAAATCTGCAGCTAAAAGCATAGTTTTCAAGGGACATGCTGATACGCTACGGACATCACGCAAACACAGACTCAAAGCAACAACAAAGTGAAAAATTATGCTCTGAAAACTCGGGTTAGGAAGGAATGAGTAGATTGCAGGATGAATTGAGTAGCTGCTTTTGAATAAAACTTACTGAGCAGCACATTTCCTTCAGCATTATTAATAGCGGCGTAGAAGTGGGGGTTCCCTGCTTTGCAGACCCGCTGAGGGGGGTAATGAGGTAATGCACTGGGCTTTTCACATCCCCAGGACTTATCGTTCTTTTGGCTCTTCTCAAAAGCCAGCAGTGGGTTTTGATTTTCTTGTTCATTTAGAGGGTTGGTTTTTGCCTATGTAGTAGGAATAGTATTAGAAGTTGAGCTCAAACTGGCTATCGAGTATGGCCAGGATAAAAGAGTAGTGACTAGCACTGCAGGAAGGAGCATTAAATTAAGCAATAAACTGTGCTCTAGTGATACTAAGGCTAGAAAAAGTTTGACTTAAACCAGACTAACAGAGTACGCTTTGTGTGCTGGAAGCCTGGCACTCCTATAAGGAAACCTGGCAGGCTTTTGAACTGGGTGTTCACTAGTGTTGGAGACCAATAACAAGACACATTAAAAAAAAATCCCACAACACTGAAAGATGTCTTCTCAGTGGTGTATGTGCTTTTTATTAATAATGTGATAACAAAACATTAGTTACAAACATTTGATATCAAGGTGACCTATATCAAAGGTGTAACCCAGAGACACGAGGATTCACTAAGAGAGTAACATGCCCCAAAACAAGGTTATGTCAACTCCCTCACTAGCTTCCTGACCTGAGCCTTGCTGGGGGAGTACGTACTCTGAGGGCGTGGACCAGAACCTGGGATACTACATGGAGATTTTGGCTTTAAGGTGTGATGGTAATGTGCACTCTCCTGACCTCTGCACCATACAGAATCTGTATCTCAGCCCTGCTTAGTCTGCCAGTAGACCTACTGGCAGTAGGGTATGTGATCTGCTCTGTAGTACCTCTGCCCACTCCACCTGACCGTTAGCTGCTTCCCACTCTGTAGCCCAAAGAGCACTAGGACAGACCTATACATGTTACTGAGATCTTGATGCAAACATGCCGGAGAGAATTTGAGTTGGAAAAAAGTAATTTTTCCTCCAAACTGCTCCTTTTATTTAATTTAACTTATGGTAAAGTTATGGAAGGTGGAACAGTAAGCTGTAAAATTTTTAATTCACAATCACTATAGGTTTCATGGGGTTTCTTAACCAATAGCCTAGAAATTATACTGCTCCACTGTCCTGAGCTTAGAAACAGAGTGGCCCCCCAAGAGGAAAAACACAGTTTATGGTTATTTTTGCTGCCTACATTGTGCAAGGTAGGTGCACTGCTGTGCAGAACGTGATAATAAATGACATGGATCAATAGCCCGTATTCTGGAGCTGCCTCATAATGGCAGTCAGCAATGCATCACGAAGCTCTGGCATTTGAGGGAGCCCTTTCACCTTTGCAAATACAAGAAGCATACTAAAGGATCTACTTAATTGCCAAGCCAAGACTCCTGAGTAACAAGTGGAGTCTGGGAAAACTTAAGTGACATGGCAGGGAAGACAAGTTAGCTTCTTTAAAAACAATCAGTCCAAGTGGATTTCGAATTCAAATAGATTTAGAAAAATTTTCTGTCACTATCTTACAGAAGCCTAGTGGTGATCAGAGACTAACAACACTTCTCTTCATTACACATCTTGAGATATAGTGCAGTCATTTAGCAAGTCGCTTACCAGCACAGGCCTGCATTTAGGACTCTACTGTTGTAAGAAAAGTAATTTAAATCGCTACAGTTACCTTGCAAAAATCTCATCATTCCTAAGATTCAAGATATGTGTATGTGTATTTCACACACTTATCTCAGAATAATGATGTATTTCATATTTGTTCGTTTGTGAAGTGATTAGAAAAATTTTTTACTGTTAATATCCGATTTATCTGAACTTCCAAGTGTAACAGTTAGCAGATTTATTAGGGCTCACAGAATAGAGTAGGAAGCAGAACACGGATTAATGTGAATGTTTCGAAAGGCTTTTAAAGAGCTATTATTGCTGCTGTGTTGCAGTCAATGCTTTTTTATTACATTATTACATCCACATTGTTAAAACACTTTTTGTGTTTCATCAAACATTTTCAAACTTAGATTTCCAAGGCTGGGCCACGGACAAAGGGAGATCTTTAGATCTTTCAATCTAGATACAAGTTGATGGCCTAGACTCCCAGCTAGCATCAAGCAGTCGAGCTGATTTGATCACGGTGTGATGATGCTGATTGATAAAGACTCTGGCCCAACAGCACAATGTTTAAAAAGCTGTACATCGTAAAATGCATGCAGTTTAGTATTGGCCACATTCATCCCTGCTGAAGGAAGGCCTAAGCCTAGTGAATGCAGCACGGCTTTGGGCAGGTCGGCAGGTTGCATCCTCCCTTCCAACTACAGCACAGTCCCAGAATGTATCACTCGCAGTGCTCGGCTGAAAACATGCCAGTACAAAGACAGGATAGTTTGTCACTGCAACAGAAGGGATTTTTTTTTTCATCTGTGTGCTGCTATTTAATCCAACAGCACTTTCAAATAATTTAAGCGAGTGTTATAGATTTAGAGGAAAGCAAAACATTAACATATATAATTATTAAATGAGGGAAAAGATGAAAAATCATCAGAAATTCAAAACAGGAACACAAGAAGTGATAGAATATTAGACTGTTTCTCTGCCTCTAAATTCACTCATGACTTGAACAGGATGGATTCTCTTCTTTGCAGAACCTTTTCTGACAGCCGCATAGATTTCTTCTGGCTTCTCTCTTTTAATTAGGGGCTTCTTCTCTGGAGCCTTCATCCTCCACATCACAACAGGATGTCGTGGGCCAGTAGGACTCTGAATCTTGATAATCTTTGTGGATGCAATATAGGACATCTTCACTGTCTGCACCACAGCATTCATTAAATTTTTGGCAGCCTGAATTAGCGAAGTGACGCTATCCAACTGTAATAAGAAACAGAAACATTAGCCTAGGAAGCCGGTCTGGTTTTAATCACGATATGCTGAGGAATAAACAACAGTGAAAAAGTAGGACTAACATACCAAACCCTAATTTCTTTGTTTTCCCTTGGTGTGTTTGATCATTACATTCACGTTCCACAGCTCAGACTTAAAGTGATACACAGATATCTGTGCTGGTGGAATATAAATGCTTATGTAGATAGTTTGTTGTTTTCTACTTTTAAAGTGTGAATTCACGATGTTGGTCTGCAGGGTCCTATTGCAATTACTACTGATAGGTAATGAAACCACCTCAGAGCAGAGCTATGAAAATGTGAGCCGTTAGTTCCTTTCTGTCAGCACTAGGCAACGTCTCCAGTGGCTCATATCACATTCCAGGCTCCCACCCATGCTCCCAAGGAACGTCGGGATACTGTGAAGTGTCTGGTTTTGCCAGAACTGCGGAACCTAGTCTCAGTGGCCAAGATTTTTAAGGGTAATTAAGAGTGGGACAGCACATAGAAATTGCAGTGACTGTGTAGCCTCTCAAACTGTTCAAGAAATGCCAAACTAAGAGGCAGAATGCAGAAGAAATTAATCCCTATCACCTATTACCATCTTCAACAGCATACTACATAGGCATACAAGTGTTAAAGCAAAGGCATTTTCTGTCAGTACTCATGGAATTAGGAAATAGTGCATTTAATTTGAACTGAAAACCTGTTAACTGCAACAAAAATGACAGCTTTAACAATCGAGCTGGCTCTCCCATGCTGCTCTGTAGTATACAGGCATACTCACCGATTGCACTGCGCCCTTCCTACACGTGAGGCCTGTGGGCTGCACAGTGTCTGTGGGCTGCAAGCAGAGTGGGCTGGGACCACTGCCTTAGTCACCACCTCAGCCCCACGGACTTTGGCAGCCCAGCCACAGGCTGACTGACTTACCAACATCGCACTGTGCAAAAAGCAAATATGATCCTATGATGTGTGCTGAGTAGAGGCATTTTATTCTGTGTTAACCCCCCCCCAGTGAATCTTAATCTCAAACTCTAGGCACAGATCTGGTCCATCATGCTCCAGAAAGAGGATTCAAGCAGGCTGCATGCAGAACAGAGTGACTACGGTGGTGGGGAGAGCCCATCTCGGGGGCTGTGCCTTGACAAAACCAAGAACAGGCCCAAGTATCTGACAAAAGGCCAACACCGGCAAAAGTACTGAAGCCTGTAATTGGCCATCAGCATTACTTCAGTCCTTGAAAATGAGATAAAGCCTTTTTCTCATTTCTGGTGTTCTCAAAACACAGACTGATAAGGTTCGAGCTCATCCGTTCAGACGTAATAGTGACAACAAACACAGAGAAGAGGAGGAACTGGGCATGCGTGTCTGTGGGGGTGTCCTTCCATATCTTGTGGTCTTAAAACCCAAGAGCAGAGAATTGCTACAGCTGTGTCTAATGTTAGGCATTGTGTGCTACCCTGGGCACTTCAGAAGGTATCGCCCCACATCCAGCGCACTGAAACAGGAAAAAAATACACCTTTTTAGGCAAAATCTTCACAATATTATTTTTGGTCATATGGGAAACTTTTTTTTGATGGGGTCAGCTAACAGCGACTGATCCCATATTTCTTTTTGAGCACAGTGCTTTTTGTAACATTAAATTTCTTTTGGATTTATCTGCTTGAAATAAAGGCTGTCTTCCCCCTTCAACTTAAAGTACCTTTGCTGTTGTCCGTGAACTGAAGGACTCCTAGGGACAAATACAGAACATAAATCATCTCAGGGACCTAAACGAGTAGCTTTTTATCCTTAAAGAAGCTAACACACTACTACTTAATTAGAAGGCTAACAATTTATATTTGGAAAGGAACCTCCAGTCTTGAATACCTTTAAGAAAGTCCTGGTTTACGTATTTATAATTTAATATTATTTCATATTTACTATTAATAATTATGTATTTATAAATATTTATTATTATAAATGTTATTTAAATTCTACCTGAGTCACCTGCTATTTTACGACATCCTTCCCAAAACTGGGACAAGGAGTGTTAAGTCAAATTTACATCAGTGTGCTGGGATGCGAACAGCATTGGGCTTAGGACCATATCACAGAATCACAGAATGGTAGGGGTTGGAAGGGACCTCTGTGGGTCATCTAGTCCAACCCTCC